TGCCAGCTAATGCCCACTGAAGGGAAGGACAGTTAGAAACTAAATTACATTTTTGTCTACTCTTCTTTATTTAATGACCATGTAAGAGAGTCAGAAGATTTTATGTAAACTATCACTTGAGGAACATTTGTTAAGACAATGTTATTTTTAATTGTATTAGTACTTCTATCAGCCTGGATATTTGTTTATAATCAGGCCATTTCTTATACTAATAATACATTCTAATTTCTAGGAATGGATTTGCCTTCACAGTCTTCTGTTACTTCCTCACATTTTTATGCTCACTTATAAATACAGCAGACAAACTGATCTTACAGAATATTATTGGAAAATAGAAAAATAATGAAGAGAGACATCACATTAATTGTTGATATGTAATCATTAGGAAACATGTATAGACCCCCCTACAATTGTTCAAACTCATATACTTGCCATAATTAGGTTCAGGTCTCTTGTTTCTCAAATAAACTAATGTCCCTTTCTCTATCAATTTAATAAACTTCATAAGTTTTTACATTCATAGATAACACGCCTGAGTTGGATTGGGTTGATAAAGGGCTGTTTAGCAACAAAATAATCGATAAATTCTTCTCCAGAACATATTCAGTGATTTAGAAGAGATGGATATCATCATGTTTGTGCTATCCTTCGCTTTATAAAAAGGAAGCTGAATATTAATATTTCTATGATTTGGGGGAATAGGGAAGGGCAGAAATTAGCTGTGTCAGCAGAAAATTATTTTGTTTTTTAGGTTCTGAGAAATGAACAGTATTTACTATAAAACTTCAGAAGAATAAAATTATTGTGCTTAAACTGGACAATAAAACATTTTCAATAAAAGGAACATACACCAATTATTTAAATATGCTTTATAGAAAGTAAAAAATTGGATGACAGACACATTGAGAATAGCCTTCCTCATATAAAAACTTCATGATATAAAATATTAGAATCATTATAGTTACAAAGAATAAGCTCTGAAACCACTTTCTAAATGTAATGAATCAAATGTACCAAAATAAGCTGCCATTTCGACAGTTGGGACTATAGAAAAAGAGATTATCATTATTGAATGACCCTCTTAACTTAGAAAAAGGGAAAATAAAAGGCATGCTAAAATAATTTTCAAAGATTATGATGCCCCATTTCTTTTGTTAACACACTCCTTCATCTACTTCAGGGCATCACACAGGTTTGACTTTGAAGTATAATGAATATGCTACATCAGCACAATGAGTCCCTTCATCATACAAGGGGGAGAAGTCAATGCTTCCTTCCATAATTTAAGAAATAGACAACAAAAAGCATTTTGCCTTAATGTTGTTATTCTGCAATTAGCAAAAAGCAAAACACCAAGCACTTTCCTCTCACTTTAGGGTCACAGTGTTCTTACCCACAGGGCTGGAAACTAGCTAGGTGTGCAGTAGCTATGGGTTGTGGGTGCTTTTTCAGATAATCTCACATGTTCAACTGGCAATAATTATAACATTCCAGAGTCAGATCTGGACAATTGGAAATTAAATGCAGAGAGTTAAGATAATTTTAAAAGTTTAGACTTTGGTTTCAAGATAATTCTCATATTGGGATAGGGATTTTCAAATTTTTAACATGGTGTTAGCTTGAAAAGATGAATACTTGTCGGAGAGCAAGAGGCACTGGAAGATATTTTGTATCATTAGCTAACAAAAATAAACAAAACTGCTATTATAAGGAGACGTGAGTAAACTAGCTAATAAAATGATCGTTTCTTTAGCCTAACTCATCTCTCACTGAACAATCACTTACTGCTGACGTGCTTGCATAGTGTGGATTTTCACGCCTGTGCAGGGTTAATGAAATGTCAGGGCCAATGTCTGACTGGATAACATCTAGCTTAATTTTTTACAATTGAGCTTTACTGTATAAACAAAACAATAAAACTTCAACAAAATTACAAATGCAAAATTATCCTTATTATAATCTACTCATCTCACATCCCACCAAGCCAATTTTACCAGGCTAGGACTATCAAATAGAAATAATTCAATCTTAATCAATTTTGGAACATGGGTCCTTTATTTAGGGACTTTTTTTCTTGGTTATTATCAAGGAATTAGACAAATGATAAAAAGATATGATTGAATTTTTGAAGCTCTTTTCAGATATGTACAGTTGTATTATTTATTCTCTGTTTCTAGGTGGTAAAACTACAATAGCTGTTGGATTTTTTCTGATTACAAACTTTGTAAATGCACACTGCAGAACATAAATGTTACTCTTAAAAATTTTTTAATTTACTTTGTATTTTCTTACCCTGGTTAGAAGGAAAACAGAAAATAAGATTTTTGTTTATAAGAATTCAACACTGCGGGGATGGGTCACCCCAAGCTAATGCAGTAACACTGTACTTACTCCATTGTGGAGGCCAGGGCTACAGCTCTGTTGTTGTTCGAGCAAACTGTGGCTTCTTGAAGCTACTGTATACAGGGAGTCTGTAAGAATATAGCACAGTATAGCTCACATCTAGATAAAGTGCCTAATGGCTTTTAACTTCCAGACAAACCATGCATCATCACAAACCTCCTGAAAAATTAATCATTATTGGAGAAATAGTGATTTATAAATCTCGCCCAAAGCTGGGCAAGGGAAACAAGGTGGTCACTGCTACAGCTCAGTTTTATTCCTGCTTTTTAAAAAAATATCAGAATGTTTAGGAATATAATTTCTGTTATGTAATGCAAGTAATATACTAAACCCATACAGTTACAGTAAAGGAACATGAAAGTTATGAATGTAAACACCAAAATAATAGCATGCAACAGATGCCAAAGAAAAATGAGTAAAACTTGCTTCTAAAAGCCTGGCACCTGGTAGCCTACCTACCAGGTAGACCAGAAGACCAGGACTGGAGCAGTAAACAAAGAACTAAAATTAAAACCTCTTGTCTCATAGGATATAATCCATCTAATAAAGAGATCATAGACTCTTTTTTTTTTATTTTCATCTATCTTATTCTGCAGGTAGTATAATTTTCAAACAATTTTAATGTTACCAAGGTTAGTGTTCATGCCCTGTTTTAAAACAGCTAAATCCTTATGTTATTTGTGAAATAAGGGGGCAGGGGTAAGAACCATCTTAACTAGTTTTTAATCTTGTACTGTTAAATTGCCTATGTTGATGAGGTCTGCTTAGCCTCCTGAAACCTCACAATGCATTCTACTCACGTGGTTCTCTCCATTATTACTAATTCTTCCTGCTTTATAGTCTTATCAGGCAGAAGCAATCATACTGCACTCAGACCTCTGTACGTAATGTAAAAAATTAGCATAGTGTATGGAGTCATTTCCGTGTATACTCTAATAGCTTTCTTCAAGAATGGTTTCTGAGGACAAATGAAAACGCTACTAATTTTTAGGTCAATTTTCTTACAAAAAAGAAAGTAAGGATTTAAAATCAAACACTTGAATATAGTTTCTGAAAGTTCTTAATTACATTTAACTTGATTTAGAGTTATTCATTTGTATTTAATATACAAGACTAAATGAAACCTGAACTTCCAAATAGCAAGTACATGAAATAAAATCTTTTTAGGTGACGTATCTGAAACCAAAACCAACCAACCAACCAATCAACCTAATTTCAATAATTTTATGCTTAAAAAAAATTGGCTATGGTGCAAGAAAAAGGCTGGAGGGGAACTTAGATATAATTTGGGACCAAATACTTAATATGGAAAGCCAGGCAGAGGCATTTCATTTTCAAATGAATGCTGTTTCACATTTATATAGCACCTTATACAGCCAAAGTGCTTTACAATCATTATGACTTGATGGCCATTCAAAAAAGTAAATGAACATGGTTTACAATCTGTCAACAAATCTAAGAACTTTGAGGCAACCAAATACCCAAGAGAATCTATTCAGTGGCTGATCTTGGACTAGTACATAGAATTAAGAAAAAAATGTTAAAAGACCTGTCATAACATCACATACAAGAAGTCACTTATTGATCTTAAGGACTGATACTAAGATGTTAGGTTTAGGAATTGAGAAATAGAAGGGTTTATATTAAAGAATAAGTAAAATGAGGTGCAACAAGGAAATTGCCCAAAAGGTAAGGCTACCTGTTACTAGTAAGTATATGAAAAATAAATCTTTTAGATGTGGAGGGTAATTGAAACTGTAAATGTCAGCTGCATTGCTAGAATCTGATCCTCAGTTACTATGACATTTCAAAACAAGAAAAAAATGAATGCACTGCCTGATTTTTTTTTCTGTAATTTCCCCCCAAATAACCTAACCAATCCATTATCTTCTATCAGCAAACAAGATAGCAAGAAATAATGAAATTTTATGTATGTTTTAAAAATAGTTTCCAAATCTTCGGACAAATTTAATTTCCTATAAAACAACGTGGAAAACTTATTTTTTTCCCTCTAAATAAATCTATCAGGTGCCTTAGGTAACATCGGATTAGCACCTCTGCCAATGTATTTATGTCTTTGCAAAAAGTGCACTTGCCAACCATTTTATATAGTAAATATGCAAGTTATTTGAAGTGCATTTGGAAAACAATTGAAAACACAGATTAATACATCATAAAAAGATTAATTCCCTTTAAACAAAGACATTCTTATAAAGCATGGTAACACAGAGGCACAATAAAGAATATAAATTGTATATCAATTATTGGCAGAAAATCTAATTCATTACAAAGCCTACACCATTGGGGAAAGGACATTTTCATACAAAGAAAAGTACTACACTATTATACAACACTTTTAATTGGGCATTTAAAAATTTTTGGCACATTAAAAGGAACTGAAAGGACTACAAAATAAAGAACCAAGAAACTAAAATATTATAGATATAGGAGAGAGAAAGTCCTCAAATGAGAAACAACTAAATATCAACATAAAAGAGACAAAAAATAAGCTGGCTGAATTTCCTGAAATGTTGTCATATGTAACAGAAGTATGCTTTGAATGTAGGATGTTTTTTTATTCTGATGGCAAGACTTGTCTACCTTGCTGTGGCTGGTTGAACATGGCCCGGATAAGATCTTCTTGTGCTGGTTGCTTGTCTTTGCCTAGCCAGAAATGACTGCCCTGAACCTGTACTAGCAAGTCTATCTTCAGCCGCCTTTTTATGCAGGGTCATTCCCTATATAACATAGGAAAAAAAAAAAAATCAATATAAAAAAAAGTAGAACATACTCTCACTAAAGAAAATTTCTTCACACAGTATTTGTCACAATGAATCATAAGGCACAATTAGGAATGTTAATTCTGCTCATTTCAGATTAAAATCTTACAGAGACATTTTGTTCCAATAATTAAGTACAAATTTTCTCTTGGAAAAATTAAGTCTTAATTTTCTGAATTTACAATAATCAAAACAATAGATTACCCATAATCATATATACTTCCTTCTCAAATCAAATGTATAAAGTGATTTCCCAAGAACAAATAGTGCAATTGATTGGTAGGAGTTGATTCACACGTGGTTGTGGAAATCACATGGCTTACTTATTTTGAGTGAAAAGCACAGATTGTTTCTTAAGGAGGAAAGCCACACTAGGTATAATACATACCTCCAGGGTGTTTTTCTTCACTTCAGGCAGGCTTGCATTCTCAAGCAAATTAAGAAAAGTTCCTGACAGCCCACAACAGAGGCCCCAAACCAGAGCTGGGGGTCTTTCTTGAATACTGGAGTAGGATGGTCTACTAGCTTAGAAGGGAGAGGATATAGAGTTGCTGTGCCCAGAGCACCTTACCAGGGGGGAAGGAAAACTCTGGGAGCGCACCCTTTCAACTGTTAGTCTATGAGGAGATCAGGGAAATAGTGGTTTTGGTACTTATTTCATAAGCCAGTAAAGAACCTTGGCCAGGGAAACATTAAGAAACAAGAGGAGCTATTTAATCTCACTAGTGATTGGCTACAAGTAAACTGATGGGAGGAAGTGGATGCTGTAACAAGGAAGAAAGTAAGAAATAAGCAACTGAGAACTAAAAGGAGAGCAGGTACGGGGAAAATGGCGGCGTAGGAGGATGCTGGGCTCACCGCGCGTCCTGCTGATCACTTAGATTCCACCTACACCTGCCTAAATAACCCAGAAAACCACCAGAGGATTAGCAGAACGGAGTCGCCGGAGCCAAGCACAGACGAGAGGCCCACGGAAGAGGGTAGGAAGGGCGGCGAGGCGGTGCGCGCTCCACGGACTGGCGGGAGGGAGCCGGGGCGGAGGGGCG